ATCTAGTACCATTTCACTACTAGATCTAGTACCATTTCACCACTAGATCTAGTACTATTTGACTACTAGATCTGGTACCATTTGACTACTAGATCTGGTACCATTTCACTACTAGATCTAGTACCATTTCACTACTAGATCTAGTACCATTTCACTACTAGATCTGGTACCATTTCACTACAATATGTAGTACCAATTTCCCATTAGATTTAGTACCATTTCATACTAGTGCTACTCCCACTGACCACTAATTCTGTGTCGATTTCAACACCTATACATACATACCCCTGCTGGACCATTATTTCCACAGACCATTGCTCTGTCAACCTAGATGTTTGACAGTTCATTGCTTCAACGCCTTATTGCCCCATGTCATCTAGTCTAACAGTCTAGCAAAGCGAAAATAAGTTATACAAGTATATTTTAGCACGTAGAATTCCACTCATCACTGACATTATCTATGACTTTTGGCACATGATCTACCACTCAAGACCTTATTTTAAAGTGGTTTCTTCAGACAGAACGATAGCTTGTCTTAAAAAGTGTGTTGTCCATGGCAATAGATCTGTTTGCTTAATGAACCATCAAGGAAATGGTCTGTTGGAGCAATGAGCCATCAGACCATCAAAGTGATGGGCTGTCGGTCTGATGTTTTACAGAGAAATAAAGCTTTTGCTAATAAGTGTTGGAGTACTAACCCCTCCCTATAAAATAGAGAAAGAGAAAAACGAATCCTAAGGAGAATTCCTTATCTGATTTGGTGAGCAAAAGTTGTTGACTTGCACAATTTTACTCATTGAGTTTTTGTTCCAAAAGTTTGTTTGCTATTTAGTCATTTATTTTCACTGTGATATCATTTTAGTATTTTAATATTTTGAGCAATTTTTACTGGGTTTTATGTTCACAAACTTGCAAGCTTGGCATAAAAACAACAATATTGTTATTTTACATGATTACATGGATTTTATTTACGAGTAGTAGATTTTACTTATCAGTGAAAATTAAAAAACAATAAACGTTTCAGTATCCAATCTTTTATTCAGACAGGTGAAATTAAAAAAAAAGTTTCTATGTCAATATAATTATATGAAAACAATCTGAGGAAGTGAAAACATTTCTTCAATGTTTATTGTCCATCTCAAGTACTTCTTGAATTTTCAAAGTTGCCAGGATGATAACATTTTGTATTTGTTTCTTACCTAGTCAGTGCTAGTAAGCTTGTGCTATATTGCTATAAAGCAATTGAATCTATACTGTTCTTCCCAGGTTTTCGTCAGCATGGGGGAGAAAGGAAGGGATCACGCCTAATGATACAATGTAATTATGGTATAGAACATAGGCTGCTTTTTATGTAATTAAGAATTTGAACAATTGGACTACTTTCATGATTTTATTCCAATTTTGACAACATTTCCCTAATGGTGTTGGGTTGCATTATATTGTAAAATGTATTACCAACATTCTTTTACAAGGTGGTTTTGCCTCTCTCATAATAAAATGGATGGGATTTGTATTAGTTGAAAGAATTCTGTCAATGTCTGTCTCTATGTAGGAGTTGTTAACAATGCTTGTGATTCTATTTACTCGAAAAGCTCTGATCCAATAGTTTCAAACTTTGACATTATATCAAATAATTCACCTCTATATGTCTCACATATTTATTACTTATAAAAATATATCCACAATAATCAATACACCTTAAAGTTATTGTTAGAACATGATCAATCTGATTAAAATCTGATGTAGTGTACAGGCTTTAATTATTTTGGCTATAAACTTATTTTAATTTAATTTTTTATTATATTTGTTATTAATGCCCTTTTATTTTATTATTTTACTTTGATTTTGTGATTTTTTTTAATTCCACCCTACCTACATCTGATCCGACACCTATGTATGTCCCGTTCAAATCTCGCGTAAGTAACAGCCAATCACGGCCCCCCTTTTATACAGGCTATCGGTTGCTTACTTTTCAGTGTATACGGGCAATCTTTCTGTACATTATATTTTGCCCACTTGAATAAACCATTAATAGAAAATTGCTAGTATATTTTTATTTGCAAAAGAAATTCCACAGCATTTTACAATTTTTGTCATTACATTGAATATTTTTTTCACTTCCAACAAATGTGTACACTCTCAGATACATCTTCGCCAGCCAAGGTTCGTTCATCCAGTCATCGCTTCAATTTCATATCACTGAGCATAAGTATCTAGAATGGAAGCAAAAAAATAAGTAAATCGTAATGATTAGAACACTTTAAACAGCTATAGTAAACAATGCAAACTGATTTTAAATTGTATAACGGTCACCGGCCCACAGCATCGACATAGAAAATTGGAGCAAACAAATATTTCCTGATTAATTGCGATGTGTTCCAAATAAAAAATATTTTATTCCAGTCCAAATCAGCTCAATTACTTTAATAAAGAGTTATTGTATAATGTACAAAATGTTGATACAATTTGATGAATATTTACAGCTTCAATACCGTAGACGATTTTGGCCCGATCGCCAACAAAACATCACCCGTCTCCAGGGCAGGCGACTGGAAAAAGACACTGGTGGAAACAAAATCGTCACTCCCAGAATAACTATGCGAAATAACGATCTAAAGTCGAACCATTCGAGTCACAATATTAACATACAAATGACTTTCGTTGCATTTGACAATGATAAACTTATCGAAAAGCCGTGTTATTCACGGTTGCTAACGTCGGTATAATCCGCCATTTTATTTGAGTGTGTTTGCCACCTGACACCTGAGATGTAGGTAGGGCGGAATTTAAAAAAATCACAAAATCAAACTAAAATAATGAAATAAAAGGGCATTAATAACAAAAGTAATAAAAATTAAAATTAAAATAAGTTTATAGCCAAAATAATTAAAGCCCGTACACTACATATGATTTTAATCAGATTGGAACATGATGTACTTTGAACTTTGGGCAATAAATGAGCTGTCCACACTGTGTCTTCAGATGTATTATTACAGTTTTAGAATTCATCCATTGTATGCTGATACTATAGCCTTGACTGCCATGAAATGCAATGGTTGCAATAACTGATTAGTTTTAATTTTGAAATTTTATCGATCAGTTTAAAATCATGCCCATGGTTTTGATTATCTTGATTGTATATTCAACATTAATTAAGTAAGAATAATGACATTTACAATTTAATCTAAGAATCCAGGTTTGATTCCCCAGCTACATTTTTTTCCATTGTTAGTTTTAATTTTAGGAAGTCTACTCTACCACACTATCTGAGTATTTACATTGCCCTTTATATATTGAGTTATGACTTATGGATAGAAGTCACATTGAAGGTGGAATACTTCTCCTGTGTGTTATCTCTTCAGGCTAGTCAGTTAATATAACAGGCAGTCACTGTTTCATTATTATTGGGTCATCGCGGTAAATAATATTGTCTGGTAATTCTTAGTTATAGGTCATTGTGCAGATTCTTGTTATTGTACTTGTACTA